CACAGATTTTTAAAACAGGTGACTCCAGTTTTGAAAGTAGTTCATTTCTTGGAACAATGAAAAATGTATATGCTTGCTGTAGGGACATTGATAGGAAGAAAAAAAGGCACCTTCATTCTAAGTTCCCTGTACTGTATCTGTGTCCATATAGAAAATGTTCTTAAAAGGAGCAATTAAAATACTATTTTTTTATATTTAGTCCAACATAATCAATGTTTATGATAGCATATGTGTTTAGTTTCATTTTATTGATCACTTTTGTAAGGTATGAACTAGTTCTTCAGGAATGAAGTTCTCATTTATAATAATACACCTATAGAACTAAAGGATTTTACTTAAGAAGATTTGACTTTTTCAGCTGACGGCCTAGAACCAAGTCTGTATGATTAATTCTGTTTTAGAGAACATTCTAGATAAGCTCTAGATAAGACATCAATAAAAAAATCAAATTAACTCCAGTTTTCTTCCAAGCTACAGTGTTCAATTTACCATTTTCTACAGTAATGCCTCTGTGTTGAAGAAGTTTCTTAGTCTTCACATTCTTTTTCTTCTTTTTTTCTCATTCTTTTTCTTTGTGTTTGTTTTTAACTATACTTCCACTGCTCACTTGGGTTGTCCTTTACAAATACTCTCCTCCTGAATCTACTCACTTTCTTTCCTCTCATAATCATTCTGTGATACTTACAAATACATTGTTAAAATTCCCATTCTTCCCCCAGACAAAACATATACAAGCATAAGTAAAAACAGAAGATAATATATAATTAGCTGCTAAAATGCCTGACATGTTATTTGTACAAACTATTTTATCTGGGGAAGAATAAGGGTCCACTAAAAGTTGAAGTGGCAGGGAAAGCCACTTGAAAGAACGGGTATTATATGCAACCTTGGAGGGTGAATGAGATTTATACAAACAAGAAGAAAGGGAAAATAGCAGTTTGGTAGGATGAAAAGAATGCAGGATTTGGATTAAAGGTTATCCAGATAAGTTTATGGACAATTGAACAGACGTGCTTGGTTGAATCACAGTATTTTGGTGACAGGTACCTACTGAGAGAAAATGTTTGATCAGCTCCCTTGGGCTCAGGTTATAATAGAAAATTCAGAAGTCAAGCGGAGTAATCAGTTTTTATCTTAAACGCAAGGATTACTCTCCACTGATTGATAAAATAAAAGATGTTTTGAGAAATCAAACAAAGTTATATGTAAAAATGCTACTTCAAAGTTTCTTTGTTGTCAAGACACCTCACTTTGAATTAAGTTCCCTACCTCAACTTTCTGTTCCCTACCTCAAACTATCTCTACCTCCATCTCCTTCATTCTCATCTGAGAAAGAAGTGTCTTTTTTTTTTTTTTGAAAACTAATTCCTCTATCTTTTTAATCTCTTACCTTTCCACAGTCAGAGGGATTTTGCTTCATAAATAGCCTAGTTTGCGTAGACAGTCGATCTCTCAGTATTTTATGGCACCTTCATTAAGCAAATAAACAGAACCCTTTCTTCGATTCTGTTGTGTTTCAAGAGATCTCATTCATTCCCCTGTTCATGCTGACTGTCAACCTAATTCTGGCCTTTCTTTCTTCTCTCCTAGAAGACAATTGATGTCATTTCCTGCTGCCTAATTCATCTTTGAAAAGAGGTTTCTTTAACTTGATTTTCCTTCACACAAGTCTTCAGAAGTTCGCTGCTGCCTTTTAAAATAGAGTGGTCCTCGATGTTTCTATTCTGTCCTTCTGATCATTTTAAGATTTAGTCAAACTGCACAATTCACTTTTCCTCAAGCTTGTGGTTTGTCCTGCCTGCATGTTCATGGTGAGCCCTCAGCTTGCCTCTTTCAACCTGTCTTTTGGAATCAAGTATTCAAGGGTGATTTCTTGCACAAAGCCTTTTCTGAGATTAGACAAGATTGGGCGTGTTTAGGGTGGTATGGCTGTAGACACAAAGCCTTTTCTGATCTCCAAACAAGTCACATTTCTTGACAGGTCTTTAACTTTCATAGCACTTTGTGATCCACTTTTTAAATTTTACTCCACAAGTTTATTTTACTCTGCATACTGATGGATGCATGGATTATTTTCAGTTAGAGGTTACTATGAATAAAGCTGCCCTGAAAGTTTAAGTCCAAATCTGTGTGGACCTCTTTTTGTTCTCTTGGTTAAATAACTAGTAATGAATTTGTTGGGTCATATGGTAAACAAGGGAATGTTGACCTTTTAAGGAAATTACCAAACTGTTTTCCAAAGTGTTATTCTCTTTAGCCATATAGGAGAATGCCAATTACTACACATCCTTGCCAACATTTAAAATATTAGATGTAGTGCTATCTCACAGCAGGTTTGATTTGCATTTTCCCTAAAGACTAATAAGATCGGCTATCTTTGCATATGCTATTGTTATTTCTCTATCTTCTTTGCAAAGAGTCTATTAAAATCTTTTGCTCATTTAAAAAAAAATCAGGTTGTTGTATTATTGAGTTGTAAAGAATCTTTATATCTTCTGTATACGTGTTCCTTGTCAGATCCATGTATTGAGAAAATCACCTTTTAAATGTTGTCTTTGGAATTACAGAAGTTTTATGTTTCAATGATGTTCTGTCTTTTCCTTTATAATCAATGATTTTTTATTATTGGTTCTAAGAAATCTTTGCCTTCCCCAAGGTCACAGTGATTCTGTTTTCTATTTTATACTTTTTTAATAAAAGTTTTATACTTTTAGTTTTATATTTAGGTCTGTGATCCATATCAAATTAATACTTGGTGTATGGTGTGAGGTAAGGGTCAAGGTTTGTTTTTTTTTTTTCATGTGGATATCCAGTTATTTCAGCTCTATTTATTGAAAAGACATACTGAGTCATCTTTGTTGAAAATCAACTGTCTATATATATATATATATATATATGGCCCGGGACTCTTTTCTCTCTTATTGATTTGTCTATCCTTATGCTTACCACACTGTCTTGTACACTGTAGTTTTTTTACACTGTCTTGAAAACAAGTATGTGTCTCAACTTTGTTCTTCTTAAACATTTCTGTATAAATTTTAGAGATACCTGTCAAATTAAAGCAATATATATTCTGCTGGCATTTGGGGAGAACTGACATTTTAACCATATCATCTTCCAATTCATCTTCCAATTCCAATGGCTTCCAATGGATAGCCATTAATTTAAGTCTGATTTCTCTTGACGGTAATTTATGGTTTTCAGTGTACAGGTCTTACACTTTTTGTTAAATTTATCCTTATATATTTCATGTTTTTGGATGCTGATGAGCAGTCTATGGTTTTATTTTAAATTTCACTCTCCAGTTTTCTTTTCTGTAGAAAACAATTTGTGTTCCAGTAGCTTTTTAACGGAGTCCTTAGGCTTCTCTAATTATTATAGTGTTGTCATTTGCAAATAGTTTTATTTCTTCCATTCCAAATTAAATGTCTTTAAAAATAGTCGTTCATAGTTCTCATCAAATTTAAACATTTTCAGCCATTATTTCTTCCCCAGGCACATTTTAGCCTACCCTCCCCCCCCCCCCCCCCGCCCCCAATTAGGACGTCTTTCTCAAAATTATCTGTTTCCCAAGCAGGCCAGTAGTGCCTCCTGAATCAGGAGCCCAGAGCCCAGATCACGACGGAGGGATGAGTCCTTTCTTCTGGTTGGTGACCTCTCCCACGTGACTCCATACCCTGTGGAGCTACTGGACTCCGACTGTGTGGTCTTTTGGTGGTCGCCCCCTGCACAGGGCCAGGCTTAGTTTCCAGGAGCACAGCCTAACAAACACGTAGCTTCCACAGGCCGAAGCAGAATTTCTTTTCTAAGGGGGGCACCTGGGTGGCTCGGTGGGTTAATCCTCTGCCTTCGGCTCAGGTCCTGATCCCAGGGTCCTGGGATGGAGCCCCGCATCAGGCTCTCTGCTCAACAGGGAGCCTGCTTCTCCCTCTCTCTCTGCCTGCCTCTCTGACTACTTGTGATCTCTCTCTGTCAAATAAATAGAATAAAATTTTTAAAAAAATTCTTTTCTAAGGATCAGCAGAGATCTGAGTCACCAGAATGGTGCTAATACGCTAATTTGGGGGGACTCAAACTGCTTCAGACCCTTAAGGCATTTATTTGGGTGATTTAAGTGTGGGTGATTTATATGGGTGATTTTTAAGTGTGAGACTTGCATCTCATGACAACCCATGACATAGGTTTATAAATTATTTCCAATGAGGAAACTGAGGCAATAGATAAGTTTAGGTGCCCAAGTTCACAAGCTAGTCTTAACTGTGGTGGAACCAGGAGTTTGGGGTTTGAATTTCAGTAATCTGACTCCCGATCCTGTCTTCCCAGCTGTGTGCTTTAAGGGGAAAGAGGAGAGAGCTGTTAGGAGAAAGCATGGGTATTTGAAGGAAGATACAAAAGGAAAGGGGTAGAGTGGAGACCAGTGGGATCCTGCGGAGGAAAGGGTTCTTGTCAGCCCTTATTTGTAGGTTGCCTACATCTGCTCAAACTTTTGTCCTTTGGTATCTTCTCATGTCCTCTTTTCTCCAGCTTCCCTCCAGCATCCAGACACTACGCTGCACTGCAGTCAGTGATGTCTTCAGAACACTGGCTCCGGGGAATCCACGCAAGTGAGGCTGTTCTACCGTAGTCGTCCTGTAACGCCCCGCTGGCCGGTAAAAGTGAAACAGACTGAAGCGGGCGACTCTTCCCCAGAAGGTCTTAACGCGTTCTTAGCGGGGAGATCCCACTACCCGTCCTCCCTTCCACAAATTACCGTCCCAAAGGCTGGGCGGGACCGCTCCAAGTCCAGGTGCGTTCGGTCCGTCCCGACTAAATGCACCAGCCTGGGGCAGGTCGCCAGCGCCCGAGACGTCCCAGCTAGAGACGCCGACAGCTTTCCGTGGGAGCGGAAACCACGCAGCCGCCTCGAGACTGCCCCCGGGCCGGCTCCCAGGCGGGGCAGCCGGATCCCCGCGCCGCGCGCGCTCCCGAGGGCCGGGGGCGGGGCGGCGGGGGCGGCGGCCGGGGGCGCCCGCTCCTCCCCCTGCGGGCGGCCCGGCTGGCTGCGCCGAGCCCCCTGCGCGCGGCACATGGGGCGCCTGACAGAGGCGGCGGCAGCGGGCGGCGGCGCTTCAGCGGCGCGCTCGGCGGGGCCCTCTCCCACTCCCCTTCCCCTGTCTTCCACCTCCCCCGGGTGCACGGCCACCATGGCGTCCAGCGAGGAGGACGGCACCAACGGCGGCGCCTCGGAGCCGGGCGAGGAGAAGGAGGCCACCGGCAAGAGGAGGCGCCTCGGCTTGTTGGCCACTGTCTGGCTCACCTTCTACAACATCGCCATGACCGCGGGGTACGTGCGCAGAGAGGGGCCCTCTCCTCCCTCCACCCCCCTCCCCGCGGTGCTGCCCCCCGACATTCAGCGCTCGGGGCGCCGGCGGGGCTGGGGCCCTCGGGGCTGCGGGGAGGGCGGCGAGCGGGTAAGGCGCTCCGGGTGCGGGCAGCGCGGGGCCGCGGGGTGGGCGCGGCGCGGAGAGGGGGCGCGGGTGGCGGCCGTGGGGGAGGGGCGCGGGCGCCGCCGCGGCCGCGGGTGTTGAATGGAGCGGAGTGGAGCGGGGCCGACGAGTGGGGCGAGCGGGGCGGGCGGGGAGCGGGGGGGTGCCGGGGCCCTGCTCGCCGGGCATTGCCTAATACGGTGCACGGCGTGGCGCGGCGGCTCGGGGCGCGGGCCGGAGGTTAAGTATAGACCTGGGCAGGAATGCGGGGCCGACCCGCGGGGGAGGTGGCTTCGGCGGGGCCGCCCCGGGCGCCGCTGCCTGCCGCTGCTGTTGAAGAAACGCCTAGTGCCGCGGCCCCGGAGCCGGAGCTGTCCGGCCGTGGCCCCCGCGGTGCACTTCCTCGTGCTGCAGATCGCTGGGCAGAGTTCGGAACTGTTAATGTCACCACGAGTTTTGGCTTTTGATTTTTTTTTTTTTTTCTTGAGCCCCAGAGCTTCTTACTTGGGACGATATTTTACAAACCCTGCTGTATCAGAGCATGGCACTCGTGTCCAGCATCTTTACCGCCCCGTGCTTCGTGACTGATATCCCGTACTTTTATTTGACTTTGAGTATGACTTAGAAAAATAAGGTTACACAGTGACTGTCGCTCTTCAGAGAGACGTCAAAATGAATTGTGTGTCGACGGCTTTTCAAGACCAGTTGGGAAATTGCTCTTCTGTTTCTAAATTGCATTGTCATTTTGAAAAGCTACTTGTTCATTATCACATGAGGTATTATTAATCTATATAAATGTAGGGGATCTTTTAATATCTTAAACTTACTCCAGGACTTATAGAAAAGAATAAATGGTTTGACCCAGTACTGAATACTTATTGTGTGTTTAGTGTAATCCTGAATACCAAATACAGTTCGCAAAAAATACATTTATTGAGGATTTGCTATGTGTCAGGTAATGTGTTGATTACTTTAGATGTACTATTTCATTTTTGGTTCTTTTCCCTCCTGGGAGGGGTACATGATGTCACATTTGAGGGATTAGGAAACTGAGGCGCAAACAGGTTATTTGCTCAAGATCATTCAACCAGCAGGTGTCAGCCTTGGATTTCAGCCTAGACAGTCTGACTCCAGAGACGTGCTGCTGCTTTTTACGCTTTACTGAATTTTATAATCTCGAAGAAGAAAAGTAATATATTTGGAACAACTGGAGAACAATCAAGTACCCACCTTGGGCTGCTGTCTTTAGCCACAGTGAAAACTGAAAGAATTTTCTCTCCTGTGATAGTCTTACCCAGTTTTTGGAACATTTTTGGAATACCTGCTGTTTGTTAACTGGTTTGCTGTCCCTTTGCTTTCCAGTCCACTCTCCCTTTTGAAAACCAGGTTAACCTTTTAAAAGTGAAAATCAATGCATAACTCTAGTTTAAAGCCTTCGGTGACTCCCTATTACCTCCACTGTAATCTAAGGGATTTAGGCTGTTGGTCATTCAAGGGCCTTTGTAATAAACTCCCTAATTCTCCTTACACGTCTTTTGTATTTGAAATCAACTGTAACTCATAATGCGGGCAAGGCACCATGCATTTTTATTTTCATGCCTCTTTCTCCGTTCTTGCTCAGGACTTTCACTCTTTGTGTGATATCCTTCTTGTTCCTCATATGACTTCTTAATCAAGCCATCTTCTTTGAAGCTTTCTAGTTCTTCTGCCCCATCTGGAGCAGAATTTGTATTCTCACACTTCATTCCTATCTTTCCTACCTGCCCAGCAAATTACCGGGTATCTGAAACTTATCTATCTCCCTGCCTATATTGGGAAGGTCTCTTGTCATTTTCACCTCTGTTTAAAAGCAGAGGTGACCAAAATGGAGTAATCCATATAACTCTTTGGAGGCCTTTAGAGGCTTTAAGATTTGAAAAAGATGGGACACCTGGGTGGCTCAGTGGGTTAAGCCACTGCCTTTGGCTCAGGTCATGATCTCAGGGTCCTGGGATCTAGTCCCGCATTGAGCTCCTTGCTCTGCAGGGAGCCTGCCTCTCTCTCCGCCTCTGCCTGCTTGTGTGCTTTCTCTCTTTCTCCTTCTGACAAATAAATAAATAAATAAATAAAATCTTAAAAAAAAAAAGATTTGAAAAGGAATAGGATTGAAATATGTGGACAGTAGATATTTCGAGTGAATTCAAGTGAATATTTCGAGTAAATTCTAGCAATAGGCATGAGATACAAGAAAGCCCGGTATATTTTCTTGATCTAATTGGAGGGTGGTGTTGGAGAACAGATGTAAGTAAGGTTGTAGTGTGGAAAGTGGTAGGTGAACCAAGGTATACATTAATTAGTATGGATAGCGGAGGGTTAGCTGAGGTTCTTTTTGTCCATTTAACTTATTGTTTTTCTCTTTTAGCAGAACTTTGAAGTATATTAAGCTTTTGTAATAGTTTTGAAAACAATAAAATAATAGATAAGTATTTACATAGATGTAAAAAAAGAACTTGCTTAATTTTATAAGCTTAGCATGACATTTTGTTTTTTATCTTTTATGTGAATATCTTCATTCAGATAGCATTTATCCCCATTATGCTATTATTCCTCTGGCCTGCTTTATTTTTGTCATTGCACTTATTGCCTTATAACTGTACAATGTATTTTACTAATTCATATTGTTGCTTATTGTCTGTCATGTCCCTCATTCGAGTGTAAGATCCTAAATGCATCTTAAAGAGGATTGCAGCTAGGGTATCTGTTCTATTATATATTCTATTTTCACCTAATAATCTACCAAATATTTCTGCATAGTTTTCATAAATATATTCTTTCGTGGCTACATAAGAGTGTATAGAGTTAATGTACAATAATGGATTAACTCATTCCCCTAATGACATTTTGCTTTTATTTGTTTCTGTTGAATAGTTACTTAGGATGAATTCCCAGGAGTAGGATTACACCTTTAAAAGATGTGAGGATTTTTGTGGTACTTGTTCATAATAGGTATGTGACCAGAGAAGTAGTTCTCCCTCCATGTCTCTCTCTCTCTTGGTAGTGGTGGTGTTGCTGTTGTTTCTTTTCAGGACTTTTGAACCCGTATGTGTCAAATGCATTGTCTTATGTCTTATAAGATAAATATTTTAGGCTCCGTCCTTGAAGAAGTGTAACCAGGGACATTTATATATTGCAATAAAAGACAGAGTGCGTGCGTGCTTGACAGAGGTGATAGGTCAGACAGGTAGGGGGAGTCAGAGAAAGCTCCGTGGTGATCATAGCATTTCAACAGAGCTTTGAAGGATGAGTAGGATTTGATAGGCAGGGATGAGAAAACAGTGTGAGTTAGGGTACAGAGATAAGGCATTCCTAGACATGTTGTTGAGGCAGTAGCAAGTGGGCCTGAAGTGTAGGGGGGAGATGATGCTGGAGGAGGAGCATGGACCACTCTGCACAGGGCCTTAAGTGCCTTGCTAACATGTTTGGATTTTAATCTGTATAGAGTACAGTAAGGCTTGTTAAAGTCTATGCTTCACCCCTTTTTTGCTGAGTAGCCTCAGATAAGTTACTGAAACACTCTGACCCTGAGTTTTCTTATCTGTTAATTGGAACAACACACTGCTTTGCTAGATTATTACAAAGAATAAAAAGATCATGGATATGAAGTGATCAGCAGGGTGATTGACACCAAGAGAGAAGCTATTGAAGATATTTTCAGAGTATACATTGTGTGAGTTATTAGAACACCAAACTCAAGGGGCTGGCATATACATTTCCCAGCCTGTGAGGAACAGACATATATTTTATCCCTGAGGAGGGTAGATCCCATGTATGGACTCATTTATCCAACTTGCTTATCCGTTCATCTGTTGGGGGACATTTTGGTTCTTCCAGTTTGGAGCTATGACAAAGCTATGAGTATTCAGGTACAAGTCTTTGGACTTAGACTTCATTTTTCCGAGGTGAATGTCTGTGAGTGGAATGGCTGGGTCATACGGTAGTCGCATTCTTGATTTAAGAAACTATCCAGACTTTTCCAGAATGATTGTACCATTTTATCCCTGTGGGCAATGAATGAGAGCAGCTGTACATCGTCACCAACACTTGGTATGGTCAGTGCTTGTAGTTTTAGATGTTCTAATAGGTGTGTTATGTTATCTCATTGTGATTTTATTTTGCATTTCCCTAGTGACTAACGACACTGAACATCTTTCCATGCATTTATTTACCAATTGTGTATCTTTTTTGGTAGAGCATCTGTTCATATCTTTCACCTTTTTTTTAAATGAGGTTGTTTGATTTTTCTTTTACTGAGTTCTGAGAGTTTTTTTTAAAAATATAGTATGCATATAGGTCTTTACCAGATATGTGATTTATAAATATTTTCTCCTAGTTATGGCTTGGTTTTAGTTTCATCACAGTGTCTCTCAAAGAGAAGGTCTTACTCTTCATGAAGTCCAAAAAACCAGATTTTTTTCTTTCATGAACCTTTCAGCTTAACTGAAAAAAAACGTTTTTTTCTTTCATGAACCTTTCAGCTTAACTCCACTGGCACAAGTGTCTATGTGCAGTACATTGAAACACATATTGGCTGCTAACAAAGTTTCAGTTTAGTCTAGGAAAGGAAGCTTGGGGGTGTCAATGAACAGTGTATGAAGGTATGGATGGTATGAATGTGAGAGGCCATCTCTGGGCGAGCCTCCACATGGTTACTTTATCGGACATGTCAAGAAGAAATGGTAACGTTAGAATATCAACATTATTCAGTAACTGCTGAAATAATGGCTCTGGGCAATGATCAGCAGTAAGCTAACACTGCAAACAAAAGGGACGATTAGAAATTACATGCTCTTCAGGGAAGCACACAACATAACTTAGGAATTAGCTTCAAATGTGAATCTGTCTGATCAAGGATGTGGAACTAACTGTCAACTTCACAGGAAATATGGGGGACAGAAGAACATAATAAGTGACATGTGGGTAACTTTGCAGGACAAACCACTCAGTGTCATCAACAAAGAAAAAAGAGAGGGAAAGAGAGATGAATGGAGAGAGGGAGGGAGGGGAAACCTATAGATTAAGAGTTATGAAAGACATAGCAACTAGTTACAACATATAAACTTTATTTCAATCATGATTTTTAAAAATTATGAGACAATTGAGGAAATTTTTATCCTGACTATGTTTTGTGATCTAAGATTTTTTACCTGGGATGGTGGTATTATGGTAAGGTCTATTAAAAGCAATCCTCTTATTAGGAATCAAACTATAGAATGTATGAGATTTCCTTCAAGATTATGAGGGGAGGGGATGGTGAGGAAAGAACTGACTTTGGAAGCTATAGGATTGTCCGTAAGATGATAATGCTTGAAGCTGGGCAGTGGGCTCTGGAGGTTCCGTATGCCATTCTCTGTATCATTGTGTCTGTGCGAAGTTGTTCATAATTCATATCTAAAAAGAAATATTGGAACAAAACCAGAAGATACAAATGTAGATAACCAAGTTCTTTATGGAGCTGGTTGTCTCCAAGAAACCTCAGGGGGAAAAGAAGCCCCCGAAACAGCCAGAGGAAAGAACTCCTCCTTCCATAAGATTTTTCAGAGTCATCATGGCGTAATGCCATGGCAAGCAGACCCTGTGTTTAGTGAGTTATGGCTCATACCTCCTGGTACAGCACTGCATTGTTTTCTCTACTTACTAATTTAATAGTTCCTTGAGACAAGAACTAAGTCTTATTTATTTCTAATTTCCCAACACTCCCTGGCTTAGCAATAAATGTTGAACATGGAGATGAATGAATAAAGAAATGAATTAAGCTAACAAGCAAACAATCTTTGACATATAAAGCACATGTTTATATATTTTCCAAAGAAAGTACTTTCTCAAGGACTGAGCATATCTCTCTGGGTTCATATTTGGGTAATCAGTTGCTCTGGCCTATTTTTTAAAAACAGTTGCAGAAGCTCTACTTGCTTTTGCATTTTTAGAAAAAGGATAATTACTAAACCAATGAATGTAGAAAGTGCAAAGTTAGTTAAATGTAGGGCCCCTATGGAAAGACTTTGTCATCCCATTGCGATGGTGGACTTAGTGAACACTCATTAGTCTAGATTAGCTCCTGGCCACAGTGACTGAAAAACAGATGAGAAGTTAGGATAGATGGCTCTGCGGTCCTTCTAACACTACCGGGAGTGTTAATTTCTTTTATTTTCGAACAAGTTAATAATTGGTATGATCTTTCACTATACTAGGTGGTACAACACTACCACCTATAGGAAGGACAACAGTAAAATTTGTTACCACGTTATAATACGTGGATTTTTATATCTTGCTATTTAAAAATATAGAAAAGTTGCCATCTAAATGAATCCTTTGATGAATTCTTTGGTAGGGTAATAATGAGCTCTCAAAGTGATCTTTTTTAAAAGTCTGGTTTGGATTTTTCTTAAAAAAGACAAGTGTATGAAAATGTTGATTTAACTATCTTGATATGCTTTTTTTTTTTATCATTAGTATGGGGACTTAAAATTGAAGACGGTAAAATCGTAACATTTTAAGGAAGACATCTAAAATGTCACCCAGATTAGCCCAGTACAGAATTCAGTGTTGGCCTGTATATGGGATGAAGCCATTGTTTGGACCACATATGGGATGAAGCTGTCAGTTGAATCCAGTAAAGCCAGGGTATTGTGGAGCGAAAATAGCATGGGGGGTTGGGAGATGTCACAGGACTTATTTCTACCTAGACTGTTGACTTTAAGACTTAGGATAAATCTTGATGTCTCTGCACGGTGACTGTCTCATCTATAACAGTGACCCTCAGACCTTTTTGATAGCACACTACTATTGGTTAAAAATATTTGAGCACAATTCTCTTGATAACTTTGAAGATTTACCTGTAATTCAAATATAGTGAATAGTGTGATTAATAATATCCCAGGGCACACCTACATGTGTGTAGCCAAACCAGTACAGCATCGTGGTTCAAGAACATAGACTCTGAGCTCATTGGTGGGTTTACATCTCAGCTGTCTGGCTCTGTGACCTCTTCTGCCTGTTTCCTCAGCAGTGAAATAGGATAATAGCCGTCCCTACCTCACAGGGATTTTGTGAGCATGAAATATTAATATGCTAAATGTGCATTTGGAACATTGAAAGCGTTCTGAAAGTACACGCGTTATTATCGCTGTTGTTGGTATCATTAACATTTCCATCTTTGGAAGGTCTTGCTGACAATTTCAGATTTTACCTGACTTCTTACCACCCCTCATAGGAACGTCCTTGCTTTCCCCCTCATTGTGTGCTGAGGAGGAGTGGAAGTGCCCAGAAGAGAAGCTCTAGCCTCCGTCTTCTCTTGACCTTGTTGACCATGTTCATCATATTTCATCTGTAGCTCGTTTGTGGGAAAACTCTAAACTGTCCATTTTATGAGGGTTCTTTAATTAAAAAGTTAAAACTGTGTAATGGTGTTATCATTCATAAATCCATGTAACTAGATGTTTTGAAGCCCACTGAATTAAAAAAGCCTAGAGTAGCTACTCATTTCCATGGGTGTGTTACTAAGGATTTTAAGAAGTTACAGATGGCATAACTTTTTGAAACTTGAAAGTGCTCTTGTAATTGTGAAGGAAACTAGAAAAAAAAATGAACTCTCATTAGTGTCTCTGGCAGATTGAGTGTAGGGTGAGAAAGCCAGTCTCCATAGGCGTACCTTGCGTGTGAAATGCTGGTCGTCACAGCACAGAACCTCTTTGTCGTGTAGAAGTAGAAGTTGAAAAGGAAAGGCATATGCATTTTGTCCTTTTTGTAAAGCAAACTCTTTGAAAGTAGGCCCATATCTGACCTATATGTATGCCCTTCTGTGGCACAATGGTTGTTATTGTTTAGTGCAAATTCTAAAGAAAAGAATTACTATGAAATATTTTTACTTACACTTACATGTAAATATATACCATATATTTGTCTAAGTACATACTTACACACTCACAGCTTTTTACCTTAAGAAATATTTGTATAATTATGAAATACTTTCTAATAACCTCATTTGGGGTACATCATTTCTTCAGTCAGTCTGCTGAAACCAAACATGGAACAGACATCGTTTGACATTTGAATCTAGTTGATCTCCGATATGTTCTCTTTATCCCCTTGAAGAGTCAATGTAAAAACAATGCCATTTCTTCCTGTAGGTTTTGTTAAATAGAATAATGAACTGAGAACATAATAAAACAACATATGATTATATAAATTATGCCATTTCTTTTCAGGAAGATCATTGGTATTCATTTTGATAGAACTTTATAAAATACCTTTCTTTCTTTTAGGTGGTTGGTTTTAGCTATTGCCATGGTACGTTTCTATATGGAAAAAGGAACACACAAAGGTTTATATAAAAGTATTCAGAAGACACTTAAATTTTTCCAGACATTTGCCTTGCTCGAGGTAAGTTTTCAATGATGCTGTTTTCTATTGTTGTAATATTTATTTGGAAAAATTATTTGCTGAACAAAATCAGTCTTATTTTGCCAATGACATCCACCTATGGATTTGTAGAAAACCGGTGTTCACAGGGGTTTATTTTATGTTGCATGTTATTGACTTGTGATTTTTTCTTTATTTACTTACAGATAGTCCACTGTTTAATTGGTAAGTTTCTGATTTAATTTTTATTGTCGGTGTGAATTGCCTTTAGGGAAATGGTTGACTTATTTTTCTCTTTAAGGAATTGTACCTACTTCTGTGATTGTGGCTGGGGTCCAAGTGAGTTCAAGAATCTTCATGGTGTGGCTCATTACTCACAGTATAAAACCAGTAAGTGACACTAACGTGTTCTCTTCACAAGCCTTCAGGAAAGTTTTTTTTATTAATAGGAATCTAAGATACTAACATCGCTATATTGCAGGGAGCAGAACCACTAGACAAAAAAAGGGCTGGGTTTGGATCTAAGTGTGATTGTACATTGACTTAGTGCATTAGTAGAATGACCTTGAAACACAAGCAAACTAAATATTTATATCCATAATCTATTCTCCTCTGATGTTTCCCAGTTTTTAAAGTGAATACTCATATTCTGTCAAATAGTTAACTGAAAATTTTCTATTGATGTGTATTCTCTTTGATTATGTATTGAAGTTGCCACAATAAACAGTGTATTTTTCCTCATTAACCATGGAGTGTTGTAGCAACAGGCATAAAAAGCAAATAGAGTTCTGTAGATCTGAGCAAATGGAAAGACTAAATGAAAAGTTGGAAGGGCTGGGGAACTTAGGGAAATTAGCATATTATTTATTGAGGCATGACAGGAGACAGACCTGAATCTAATTAATGGCCTAAACTCTTCTAGACAAACAAACACCATGCTCACTATGTCAAGACACTGGGCCTTTTAAACCCGTGACAGAAACATTTCCCAGATGGGCCCTTCTGACCTTCTGACAGCCTTCGGCATCTCCTGTCTACTTGAGGACAGATCTCTGGCCTCCTTTCCATTCCTGAGATGCCTTTCTTGTCCCTCGTCTGCTTGAAATGATACCTTAACTCCCTTCCCTTGTCTGTGAGACATACTGGCCTCTGTCCACGCAGGGACAGATCACTGCTCTTCCGCTCTCCCACCACTCTGCACGGTAGCCTCTCCGGACCAGTGTCTTTCACTCAACTCTCTCAGTGCATCTGGCCCCTCACGGCTGACCGCCGTGCCCTGAGCTGTGAGTGTGTGCCACGCAGAGAGCCAGACTTTGTGTTCAGATTGCCACGTAGTTTAAAAGCAGGCAGTCCCCATAAACAGAATAAAAGAAAGTCTGTTCCAGACAGTGAGCAAATATAATAGCTGGGCCGGGACTGCAAAAAGTCTGAAGACTGAGGAAGAAGAAAGACAAGACAGGGTGGGCCGGCATCCACTGTGGAAAGAAGTGAGAGAGGATCTAATGGGTTGCTAGCCCCCAAGAGAAAAAAGACCCATCTGCTCTTTTTTTAATCCTCGAAAGGATCTCTGTATTAGTATTACTATTTAGTTTTTTCCAACAATAGTTTCCCACTGGTACCTTTCTACCCCTCTTTAACTAACTCAGCCAACATTTATTGAGTGCCTTCTGTACACTTGACACTGTGCTTGTGTCTGGCTTTACAAGAGTGGATAGGGCCATTTCAGCTCTTTGCGTACTGGTTGTTGGGAAGTGGGTGCTGGTCATACAGACGTTGACTCCTTCAGCAAATACTGATCGCACAACTCTTCTAGCCTGAGGCTATGCTAGGGATCTGGCGGTTAATGATACGAATATGGTCGCTTCCTTGTGGATCCTGTAAGTGGGAGCAGCGGTAAACAAGTAGTTACATAAGTACAGTTGACCTTGAACAACCTGCATTTGAACTGCACGTGTTCATTCATACTCAGAATTTTTTCTTTTTATAATTTTTTTCCTGATAATTAGAATACTATAAGTATTTTCTCTTACGATATTGTAAATGACATTTTCTTTTCTCTAGCTTGCTTTATTATAAGAATGCCATATATAATACATAGAACACACAAGATATGTGTTATTCAGATGTTTATAGGTTATCGATAAGGCTTCTGGTCAACAGTAGACTATTAGTTGTTGAGTTTTGGGGAGTTAAAACTTAAAATTTAAATACAGGCTTTTTGGCTATGCAGCAGGGATTGGTGCCCCAACCCCCACATTCTTCATGGTCAACTGTAATTGTTTCATTATGTTAGTGTTAGTGCTTTGAAATAAGAGACGAATACATATTACAGTGTACCTGGGGACTTAGCCTGACTGAGGGAGGTAAGGAGTGTGTAAGGAGAGCACTGATAGATACCCAAGAGTCAGGCAGACAGACTTTCATACAAACTGGCAGGTGTTACAGTACAGATATGATCAAGGAAAGTGAGCAAATTACAGCTCAGGACGAAAGGAAGAGTTTGGGGAAAGTTGTCTAGAGGGCGTAATGCTTTAGCTGGGTCTTAAAGGGTGAGAAAGGATTTTCCATGGGAACTAAAAAGGGAGTAAGTAGCATTATAATTGGAGGGAATGGCATGTGTTAAGATATAAACGTTCAGAGCATGTTATGGAAATAATAGTAAGTTGGTGTCACCAGGGAGAGCTGGTAGTGGGAGGCTGAGAGATTGCAGATGAAGTTGGGAGATTCCAGAGCTCAGATTGTAGAGAACCCTGACTGTGATCCTCTTGTCCTGTTAAGGAATGGGGAGCCAAAGAAGCTTTTAAATCTCAGGATCATTGCTTCCAAATGTGTTTTGGTTTTGCGTTGAGAGAAGACTTCCATCCATGAGGAGAGTAAGAGTGGAGAGGCTATTTAGGAAGCTGTTAGAGTAGTCTGGATGGAGAAGATGGTGAGGCTCCGAATGCAAATGGTGGTCATAGGACAAAAGAGGAGTGGACAGATGCAGTAGCTAGTACTGCAGTTGGCTGGGTACCATCAGACGACCATAGAAAGCAGACTGTCTAATGGTTCCCATGCTGGTTTTGAGGGGGTGATGTTGTCACAGGATGGTTGAGTTAGCAGCCAGAGCGAAGGCTAAGAAAGAGAAAGCAGTAGAAATTTGACCATTCCTGTGTCTAGGACATATTTGTGTGTTTTCATGAATTACGTAGTGGTGACTCTGTTTTTCTGTCTTGCCTCTGTCTACCCCTGAAATTCAAAGACACATAGTAAAAAATGAGTATATCTTCATGGAGAAAAATGTTCAAGGTTAAACCACACTGTGGATTTCTCTGTGATTCTGCAGATCCAGAATGAGGAGAGCGTGGTGCTTTTTCTGGTCGCGTGGACTGTGACAGAGATCACTCGCTATTCCTTCTACACGTTCAGTCTTCTCGACCACTTGCCATACTTCATTAAATGGGCCAGGTGGCGTCTTGCAGTTTAGTTTCTCACTAGTGCATGTGTGTTTTGTGTGCTGAGCTAACACTAGGGAAGGAAAATTTGTCTTAGCCCATGATGCCAGGATGCTGTTTTCTTAGCTACTAGCAGTGTTGTAACTTCAATTCTAAAGGCTTAATTTAGTGATCAGAGAAAAATCATATTAATATGTATTTTGAGTAGAATTAGTGCCAGACAAGTTGTGTCAATATCCTCACATAACCTGAATTGGTCACTCATTTTTCTTTGAAAGCAAAACGTACATTTTTTTAAAATTATATTAGTTAAACTCTGTGCCAAAAATTTGGCATTTTTTGCATGATTTAAATTATTTTGATAAATAATAAGTATAATATAATTATCAATATCAATATATATCAATATATCAGTATCAATATATATATCAATATATATCAATTATCAATATAATTATTGATAAAATATAATTAATGATAAAATAATTGAATTATTTTGATAATTAGTATCTACAATCCTTTTTCATTACCCATATATTATACTTGTTGAAATATAATGGACTATAGAATATATTAAAAGATCCAAAATGAAGGGGAAAAAGACCTTTTGAACTGCTTATAATCCTCCTCCATGAAGATAATCACTGTTAATTATATTTATACTCAGACTTTTTTTTATATGCCTTTGCTCCTTTTTAGACATTTGTGGCTTATCATTTTGTTTATTGAACTGCTTCAGAATTATAATTTTTTTTTTAAGATTTTATTTATTTATTTGACAGAGAGAGATCACAAGTAGATGGAGAGGCAGGCAGAGAGAGAGAGGGAAGCAGGCTCCCTGCTGAGCAGAGAGCCCGATGTGGGACTCGATCCCAGGACCCTGAGATCATGACCTGAGCCGAAGGCAGCGGCTTAACCCACTGAGCCACCCAGGCGCCCCAGAATTATAATTTAAGCTTAAACCTATTGTCTCTCATAAGGAGGCTGCGCTCCCATTTCTATGTTAGGTTGGTTTTATTCTTACCATAACCGAGCATCTTTTCACTTTGAGCGATTGGGCTTTTCACATGGTTGGCAGTTTGCCGTGTTGCTGGACTAATCCTAGAATGAATCTCAGTGCGCCTTGAATCTTGCGTGATGGCCTCAGTCTTCCGGACCTCCAGCACCTTTGAAAATACTAACTCCTACGACAGTCTCTTCACTTGCTGCATTTGTAGAACTTATTTGAGAAAGATAATAGTCTTTAATGTTTCGTCTGTCTGCCTTTCGGAATGCACCATGCATGTATTGACTTTCTGGAGAAGTTGAAAACATGCTTAAATTTGCTGTTTAGAAATCCTTTGTCAATTGAACTAATGTTAAACCAAGTACTCTAAGACCTTTCAACTTTGAAATGCACCTGTTAGCATAACACGTGTCAGTTAATCATAATCACGAGTAATATTTCATGTTAAAAACCTCAAAAGACTCCAACCATCTATATATATTTGTCAGCCTTATTAAAAACTTAAAATAACATCTGTATTTATGTTCAAATGTTGAGGTTGTCATTCTCAAATAAAACTTCACAGTAAGAATGGGTTCTTATTTATATATAGCTGGCCTACTGTGATGGTTTGAATATACTTCCATTCTACTTATGTGTAAGAAGTGTTCCTAGAAAAGCCCACTGAACAGGCACTTGTATGTTGTTATGTTTGATGTTAATTTCCATTTTAATTTCAAAAATGCATCCCCTTCAAAAAATGTTTAGGTAACAATTAAGAACCTTTAACGAGGAATTCTTTTTCTGAATAGGTAGTTAAATTTCTCATGCTGCCATCAAAACTTACAGAGTGGGTGACATGCAATCTTTCTAAAGTACAAAGCCAGTAAATTATATCATTTGCTATCATTGCATTAAAAATAATCAGTGGCTGAAGGTTTCAAACTACTTTAGTCTAGGAGTGATACGCTTTTTTCTGTTTAAGAACAATGCTTCCAGAAAAATCACTGGAGAGTCACATAAAGTTTAAAAACTCCATAAATAAGTTTGGATGTTTTACTCGAAAAGGGATATAAAATGTTCAGTTATCTGATTTTTTAATTGAGTTAGGAAATTAAGATTGGAAAAGAGTGATTTAAATAATACACGAATAACTATACTACTAGTAGTAAGAAAGCAGATGATCTACCCATGGCAAGGAGGAGATAAACAGGTACAATAAAAGGATCATTGGTCTTTCCATTCGCCACTGAATCTATTTTGGCAAATGATTCTGTTCCCACACCATGTCTTACCCGTGTATATCCTTGACATACAGGAATAAGGTGATTTTTAAGTTGTCTCCAAGTTTCTGCTGTACTGATAAATTTAACATTTCTTTACAAATATCTTAATGCCAACAAAATGATGAAATAAAATACGGATTAATTGATTTCTGTCTTTTTCTACCAACAATTTAACCTTTATTTTGGTAACTGCCTTTGAGAGAAATGATTTTCTTCAGTGGAGAAATGTTGCTACCTTGGATCCTTGAAGTTGTTCTTGCTGGAGGCCCACAGAGACTCATAGAGCCTTGCCCTCACATAGGCATGAGTAATGGCTGGCCTACTGTGTGTTAGAGACCTTGCCACAGCCCAAATGAACAAACTGTGATTTTGGATTTTGAATAGAACTTTCTTAGCTATCTTAAGCAAACTGTTCCTTTAATGTGGGAATTTTGGAAACAGTTTCTCTTACCTGTTCTGTTAAGAGAACAGTTTTAGATAATATATTCATTAGTAGTTGCTGATACTTTAGTATTATTTATATATTAGATATACCAAATATATGAATATGTATAAATATATATTTAGTAGTATTATGTCAGTTTTCTGAAATAGTAATTAACTGTCTTTTAATTAGTAACCACAAAGGGATTTCCAAATGCTTCCAAGAACCACTTTGGTAATTTCGAGATTTAGATATAAAATTAGGATCATAACTGGTCTTTTTTTTTTTTTAAGATTTTATTTATTTGACAGAGACAGTGAGAGAGCATAAGCAGGCAGAGCAGCAGAGGGAGAGGGAGAAACAGGCTTTCTACTGAGCAGGGAGCCTGATGCGGGGCTGGATCCCAGGACCCCGGGATCATGATCTGAGCCAAAGGCAGTTGCTTAACCAACTGAGCCACCCAGACATAACTGGTCTTTTAAAGCACAGCACTTGATCAATAAATGACTAGCTGAAGGGGGAAAAAAAAACAAAAAACAACATTCAGTTTGATTCCAGGTGTCAAAGAAGTTACCCTTACAGTGTCTTATAATACTTATAGGTGCTTTATAATGTATTATTTACAACACTTATGTCCTTTCCAATATAAAACCACACACATATACATTGTTAACACATATACCATTATTTCAGTACTGTAAAGTAAGTTGACTTCTTATTTTATTAAGATTTTGCCATCTAAAATGGAAACTGCTATGAGAAGAAAGGAGGATAATTAAAACAATAAACAAGTGATTAAGGTGCCTGGGTGGTTCAGTTCATTAAGCAGCTTAACCATCTTAACCCAGATCCCAGGGTTCTGGGATCAAGCCCTGCACTGGGCTCCCTGCTCAGCAGAGAGCCTGCTTCTCCCTCTCCCTCGGCCTACTGCTCTGCCTACTTGTACTCTCCATCTTTGTGTCAAATAAATAAAACCTTTAAAAACAAAAACAAACAAATGATTAAAATAGAAAAAAATTAACCTGTGAGGGGCACCGTAAATATGTGTATTTTTAAGTTTAAAGACAGTAGTAGCAAAAGAACGATAATGTCAAATCCAGTCATTATTTTAGAAAAATAATTCTCTGGGATCTGTCTTTCTCCAGATATAATTTTTTTATCATCTTATATCCCGTTGGAGTTGTTGGTGAACTTCTTACAATATATGCTGCCTTACCATACGTGAAGAAGACAGGAATGTTTTCAATAAGACTTCCGAATAAATACAATGTCTCTTTTGACTACTACTATTTCCTTCTTATAACCATGGCCTCATATATACCATGTAAGTATATGGTCATTAGTACTTTGATTTAGCATAAGCAGTGAGTATTTTTGTAAAGTATGATCGCTAGTTTAATAAGCAAGGAGACGTGATGGCTTACAAATACATCAAAACCTCTGCTCAACCCCACGTTTATTCATAATTTTAAATAATGGAAGAGTTGAGCGAGTCAAAAAGGACTCTTAAAGTTACAAGGAAAAAGGTAAGTAAATCAATACAGAGATGATTGCTTTCTCAGAATCATTTAAAGAGAAGCTGAATTACCTTTTTTTTTTTTAAAGAAAAGATAGAGCACACATCAGTGAATTGTTGGCCAGCATTTAGAAACATTTGTCTGAATATAAACATATAGTCCCAGAAAATGTCAGGTCATTTCTGTCTAATCCTTGAGCATACACTTGGAAAAGTTATTTAGTCTTGTGTGTATGTTGCTCTATATACCAGAACATAAGGAAGCCGCTTTTCTTAAGACATTTTGAACTACTCAGCCTTTTCACTAACGTCTCATCACCTTTCAGTAGTTGCCATGAATTGGTGAAGCTCTACTCTCTTCACTTAAATGCCAATAGTGGTTGGTTTTTAGGTCAAATTTTTGATAGTCACTTGCAGGGAACAGGAACGTTTGTGAGGGGCATGGATGAAGCTGGGTTGTGTGGGCTTAGACACCCACATATGTCCATGAGATGCCCTCATGGTACAGGACAGCGGATGGACCCGAGAGAAGGGGGCCAGGCAGTTTTCCTTGCGCCAGAACATTCTGGAACAGCGTCCCAGGTCATTATGAAGATATCTTTATCAGGATACTTAACTTTTAACTTTGGTAAAGAATCCTCAGCATTACAGGCATACCCCAGAGATACTGCAGGTTCAGTTCCGACAACTAAAGCTAACAGTGTAATAAAGTGAGTCCAACCATGGGTTTGTTTTTTTTTTTTCCAGTGCATATAAAAATTATGTTTACATTATACTGTGGTCTCTTAAATTTGTAATAGCATCACTCTGCACACCTTAATTAAAAAACACTTTATTGCTAATAAATGCTCGCCATCATCAGAGCTTTCAGCGAGTCAGTACCACTCATATGACGAGTACAATAATAATAATGAAAAAGGTTGCAATATCCTGAGAATGTAACCCAAAATGTAACACAGATACACGAAGTGAGCACCTGCTGTTGGAAAAACGGGGACAGGAAACTTGTTCTGGGCAGGGTGACCACAAACCTTCAATTTGTAAAGATCGCCATCGAAAGAGGCGAGCCTGGAAACCCCGGAGGCCTGCGGGAGGCCTGCAGAGGGCGGGATACCGGGTGCCGTGTGCGACCTACTGTGTGCGGCCTCTGCGCATGCGCTCTCAGCCTGAGCTCTGACAGCGCGGGGGACAGGAGGCTGCGGGGACAGATGCTGTTCTTGCCCTCAGACTGCCCACGTGGGGGGAGGTTTCTAGTATAAATAATTGTCAACAGCATCCTCCTTTGTTTTCTTTTTTCCATCAGTGTTTCCACAACTCTATTTTCATATGTTACGCCAAAGAAGAAAGGTGCTTCACGGAGAGGTGATTGTAGAAAAGGATGACTAAACCATGCCCCCGAACAAGGTGCTTTTTCCAGAATAACCAGGATTACTTGAGTCCAAGTTTTAATAACAAGAATAAACAACTTTATGAAATACTACAGATTGTATGATTTCTTAGACTATAACGTGAGATGCGGTTTTTGCCAATATTTGTCTTCACATTTTCTGTAAGAACTATGCAATATTTATTACCAACTCCTGGGGAGGTGATGATCCTTAGGAAAATAATTGGGTGTATTACCTGGAGGGGGAAAAACCTTTTTAAAAAAAGTTTCACTAATTTTTTGTTTTTGCAGCATATGCTCCAAGGTTTTTAAATCAATATTTACAAATTAGTTTAATGATTTCACATTATGGTACTTGCTGGTGGTATTTATGTGATATTTATAAATGAAAGTAAATGCAGAATTATAATAACATGTTAATAATGTATTGGTATTTCGTGAACCCAAGATCTGTTTCTTACAAGTTATAAGGCCGTTGATTAATAGTTATTTTGGGACGCATGGACATAATTTGTTTTGATAGGACTTTTGATAGAGATAAAGCAGGTGTATAACAAGAATATTCAAGTAGATATCACAATTGGAAAATCTTTGGATAAATATTTAGGCTGTTAAAATTACATGTACTGCTAAGCAAAGTTATTTTTATTTGCATTAACCTTCAAGGACAACCTTTTCAACTATAAGGATCTTAAGGGATTAGAAAGAATAAGTGTATACTTTGTCTCACTTGTGAAAAAAGAATAACATTGGGTTTGATTATAATGTTATAGTCAGAATTCTGGCTGAGAAAGATTTCTCTATACCTGGAATCATCTAGTAAAAATCATGTTTTGATAATCCCTTGTGGGACTTAGATAATGAAAAGTTTGGCATATGACATAACAGACTCATTTTATTCTGAATTACATTGAATTTCAAGCAAGAAGTCTTATAATAAACCTCTCGTCCATGTGTTTAGCAGACAGTAGATAGACCATGTATTTAGTAGATAGTAGATAGATAGACTGATACTTTAATACTGCTTTTAATTCCTAAGGAAGCCCTTTAAATTTTTTCCCCTTACATTAAGGTATGCTGCTTTACTGACCCAGTTTAGAGAGAATATTAGATGTATAACTTTAAAAGAAAAGGGTTTTTTTTTTTGTTTGTTTATGGTTTTGTTTTGTTTTGCCTATTGCAGATATGGAGGTGGAATTTTGGCTTTCAGTATTCTGTACTGTTTGTGCTTGCAGTCATCATGTAACATTACACTTTTCCAAACTGTTTGTTTTGTGGTACCACCTTCTCAATTTTCTTCATATGAAGATTTGCAGTTCAGAATCGTTTTTGCAAACTTTCATTTTGGGTAACATGATTTTCAAAAGGTGCTATTTCCCTTATTACGTTTTAACATATCTCTGCAGCTGAATGTTTTAACAAGCACTGTGTGTTCTATGTATGAGGTTACTAATTCTCCAAATGCAAATATTCATTCTGCCTTTACTCTGCTTGATCTGTTTTTATCTTGAATTTTTATATGGAAGAAATTTCTGGGGAGTTTTTCCCTTTGGTGCCATAGCCTAAGAAGTTCCCATACATCTTGATCCTGTCAGATGCCTGTCTTATGAAAAGTATTTTAAATGCTGTTCCTAAAACTTGTGTTAATTCAACCTGTACTCCCTTCAAGCAGCTGTAGTAACTCTTTTTTTCGTTTAGTTGTGGCATATCCCGAAGTAGGAATTGTGATTAACTTTAATAAAAATGAAAAATGGTCAAACTATTATTTAGTGACCTTTGTTAGCATGGTATCCCTAAACTTTAGAGTTAGTCTTTCTTCAGTATCTTCGATATTCAACTAATTCTAAACTGTCCCTTGGGTAGAAAGTAAAGTGTTTAAATCAGAGTTTGATTTGAAAGAGAAAGTATTCGAAATTCCTTTGCATGTGTTCCCTGCACCTGCATCTCTTGGAATTCTCCTGAAGTCTTCTCAACTTTTCTTTTCCATTAGGCAAACCAGGACATGAATCAAACAGAACTTCCATTCAGTCCTGTAGACCTTGGCATTTGAAAAACATATACCAAGAAATTATGATGCTAGCAACTTTCAATTATATGTAATAATATTCCACAAAATTCTGATTGTTTTTCATTTTTCATAGCTTTAAAGATTGATATAAAATATGTACAGCATGTGCAAGTCCTTTTTTCTTTTATTTTTCATAGCCTTAATCTGATATTAATACAACAATGTCCCTGTTATAACTTAATTTTTAGAAGTATGCCAAAATAAACACAAAGTCATTTTCACCAAAAGCTTTTATTGCTTGACCTCTGTAGATTCTCAGGTGCATTATTGTCTCATCTTTGGATTTGTAAGCATCTGTTTGGTCTCCCACTATCTCGTGGTTTCTGATGAGACATGGGAAATGAAATGGAATCACACAGTAACCTGTGCCAACTGTGTGCCAAGGACTGTTGAGGGGAATTGGCATGTTTTTCTTATCATATCTCTCTCCATCCTACGCAGTAAGACCTCTGACATGATTGTTAGGTTAGATTGGCTAGGAAATCACATTGCAAAATAATTATAAAATGTCATGCATTGGTAATCCGATGTGGTAGGATTTTTTTGTTACTTATGTGTATACAAGTATATCATCGCCACTAAATAACATTCTGGTTTAAAACTTTTCAAATAGACTCAAAATCAATGATAGCTATGAAACTTAAATCATTAAGGCACAAGAAGAGGAAGGAAATAACTATAAGAAAAAAATAACTATAAAAACCAGCATTTGATGGGGCACCTGGGTGGCTCAGTGGGTTAAAGCCTCTGCCTGCGGCTCAGGTCGTGATCCCAGGGTCCCGGGATCCAGCCCCGAGTTGGGCTCTCTGCTCAGCGGGGAGCCTGCTTTCCCCCCCACTGCCTGTCTCTCTGCCTACTTGTGATCTTTGTTTGTCAAATAAATAAATAAAGTCTTTTTAAAAAAAAAACAGCATTTGAATTACTTTTCAAATGAATGTGTAAAACAGAAATATTTTCCATTAACCTATATAGTGATCTGGAATATACATATAGCTGACAGAAGGAAAAGTAACTGTTTTGTAATTTCTAGTATAAAGGCATTGAATGGAATTGAAAATTCAATTTGTTCATATTTTTAGTCTAGATTTCAAAACAAATTGAAATAGACATGTCATTCCTCCAGATCTGAAGCTTAAAAATATGTTCTAAGGTTTTTAGATATTTTTTTAGCATTCCTATTAGCAGCTTTAAAAAATATTTTTAGCATTTTTTTTCTTGAAATAATTTTAAACCTAATTGGAAAGTTGCAAGAATGCTAGATAGCCTTCCCTTGAATTCCTGAGCCCTAACACTTTGCCCCTTTTGCTGTAGTATTCCCTCTCACTCCCTTCCTCACTCCTTCTCTCTCCATAATATTTTGTGAACCATTTGAGAGTAAGTTGAAAACATTCACTTATGATGACTTCACTGTATGTTCCCTAAGAACAAGGACATCCTCATACACAGCCACAGTACAATGACCCAAATCAGGAAATTCACGTTGATAGAGTATCTTTTTCTCAGCTGGGACCTCACACAAACTTCCTCAGCAGGGTGTTGGGAACAAACCACAAACATGTTTTGGGCAAGATGTGGTCCCGATTCAGGCGTCACAGTTCCTTGTCACCTCTTCCTGTCTAGAGTGGCTCCCTGACTTTTCTTCATGCTTCATGACTTCGACATTTCCAACAGTACAGAGGAGTTCCTTTGTAGAAAGTCTCTCAATTTGGATTTGAGGTTTCCTTGTGATTAGATTTTATTTATGCACATTTTCAGCAGGAATATTGATTTATTTCATTTATTGTGGATATTAACTTCAGTGTGTTAGGGTTTCAGTTTTTTTAGTGTTTTGGTAGTGGGGTAACACACAGGTATTTTAGTAATAGAAGGCCTATTGGTCTGGTTCTGTGGAGTTGGTCTTTGAAATCAGGCACTGGGATTTTTTTTTTAACCTGATTATGCTTGTCCTCTGATATATGAAGACTGATATCTTTTTAAGTCCTTAAAAAGTACTATATTCTTTTTACACATGCAATTTCCAGGCATATTATTAACTCACCTTTATATTGACTTTAATGGCCCTAGACTATAAATCTCTGTGAGTAATTAATGTACTTCGAATTTGCTTAAGATTTCTTAACCATAGCATTCTGTTAATGCTGTTATATCCTCTTACCATGTTATCTTGCTATACTAAAATGCTAACTAACACAAGATTGAGATTGCTGTAAAAATTAATTTTATTTCTTGATTTATGGTAGCGCCTTATCCCTATATTTTAAAATTCAATTTGTACAGTTGAGAATTAAAAATTATTCTTCAATCCACTTAACGCTTTGTGGCTTTACTTTGAGGATAGAGCCCGCAGAAAAATGGTTTTCAGAGCACAGTTTTATGAGGGTCAGCTAAGATCCCTGACTCCCTGCCCCTCCACTGCCCCCCCCCCACCAGTAGAGAGGGTATATCAGCAGCCGTGGGGCCGAAAGTCTGCATTTTTAGCAAGATGGGAGACAACCCTGGTGCAGGCAACTTAGTTACTGCATCACCTTGGAGGAACGCTATGGAAGGAAAGCATCAGCGGGTGGAGGGAGAGGTCTTCTTAGAAGTACCCTCTCCCTGTACTTCGTATCACTGAAAACAACATCCCTGCGTCATTCTGTATTGTCTCCAATCAATGACCATCACAGTTGGAAGTTTATACAAATGAAAAACTTGAAAACTGAAAATGAAAAACTTGAAAAATGAAAAACTTACGTAATATGAAGAATTAAGACATTCTGTGTTTTTTTAAGCATATATTATTTTATTCCCATATAATTGCCCTGTCCATGCACTGATGTAGTACGTATAGAACATAAGACAGGTCATGGTGGTAACATCCAGGGTAGCAGGTGTTTTTGCTGTGCTGAATTTAATAATAGGAGATAAATGGACATCATTACAGTTAGAAACTATGTTATAAGATTTCAGTATAGTCGTATTGTTAATTGAAGAGAACTTCTAGTTTCTTTTGTAAATCAAACACACATACACACAAAGGAATATA